ACTTGGTAGTCCAGGCTGGTCTCGAACTCACAGAGATCCGCCTGCCTCTGCCTCCCGAGTGCTGGGATTAAAGGCGTGCGCCACCAACGCCCGGCAGACTTTTCATTTACATGTTCATTTATCATTTCTTTCAGTTACATGTTTATTATATAGTTGTTATAGTGATTTTCTTTCCTTTTATTGAGTCACTCAGTTTACACATCATTGAGTGAGTCATTCATTCATTCATTCATTCATTCATTCATTCATTCATTCAGGTAAACAGTAACTTTTCCTCTCATTAACGGACACAAACACTGACTCACTGCTTCATTTATTCCTTCATTACAAATGAAGGTCTACATATCCATTCATTCATAAATCCATTCAGGAATCCATGGACTGACTGATCCACTCAAGATTGCCCATTCACTTCTCCTAGGTTGACTCACTGGTGTGTTTGTCTTTCATTCATTAACTCACTGGCTTCATCGTTCATCACTCACTCATTCCATGCTGCCCTGCTTATTAATGTATCTACTCACAAACATTCCATGTACTCATTCACTTTTTAACTTAGTCACTAATTAGTGTATTGTTAATCTGCTCTTGGCACAATCCTTGATTTTTTTTCATGACTTCATTCCTTCCTTTTTTTAATCCCTCAAGGAATCGTTCATTCATTCATTGTTTTATTTATTTATCCATTCTTTTTGTTATCATTGATTCACCTACTCATTCAACAAACATCTCATGTGCTCCTGGCTGACAGTTGAGGTTGTGAAAGACCTCACAGAATAGTAATGCCCCCTCTCATACAGTATACATAACTTAAATTGAGCAGAGAACTCTGCATTTCTGGACCACATGTATACTTGTCCTGTTACATTGTGTGTGAGCTGGTATTAACTAATCCCATAGAGTTACTAGTTCTGTATGGACTCCATGTTTGACACAAGGTCTGACAAGAATGAAACTCAGTAGTTATTGGGCAGAAATTAATACTTTTATTACTAATTGTTTTAGCATTCTCAGATACTAAGTATCAGCAAATAAAAATCAGGGAGCATTAGAACCTCCTAAAAAACCAGCAAACACATCAGTTCACTAGAATTTGTGCCTGAGATAGGAAAATTTACATCAGTGTGGTGAAAGAATATAAAAAACCCCATCTTACTGGTACATACGAAGTGGCCATATTCACTATGTTCTATAAAAACAACGACAAGAGAAACTAAAGTTCCTTTCGTAGATGTCATTGGCTAAGAACTGCAATCATTTTAATCACTAGCCTGTGACTGGTCCACTTCCAATTTACTTTATAAAAGACTGGTTTACTCAATAATGACAAGTCCACAAATTACAAAAAAAAGAACCCTTAAACTGAATATTTAATATGTGTTTGGGGCTCCCTTATACACAAAGGCAACAGACTAGATCTTTTTGGTTAAATATGTTTGAGAGGAAAAAAAGAGAGCTGATCATAGTTCTTATTTCATGGCAAAAGTTCTCATAGGAATATCTCAATTATTTAAAATTTCTGGGTGTGAATTTTTCCTTATTAATTTAGTCATACATTTTCAAAAAGAAAGTCAACAGAAAAGAATCTACAGCCATATAGATCAGGAGAAATTGATTTCTACAGTTTTCTTTAGACTTCTTTAGCAGAACACACTACATGGCCCTACTTAAACAAATCTTCCTTTTATTGTACAATTCCAGGGTGGGTACTTGGTGGACACTGTGCTTACTTCTATTTCATTTTCTTAACAAGAACATGATCTTTGCCTGCAATTAGAGTGTATCTGTGATCTCTCTGTTCCAGAAAGCAGTCCAAGCTTACTGTGTATAGGTCTCATTTGTGCAAACAGGACCACCTAGCATATGTGTTGTCTTTCTTGACTATATGACACATAATGTCAATTTTAAACAGACAGTGATCACCTGTAACAAAATGGACAAGTAAGAGCAGAAGCTTGGTCTGCTACTCACCCATATCTATACTGCCCTTGGCCACACTGTCAATGTCGGGACCTCTGTCTTGAAGTGTTGAGGAAAGGATCCCATGTGCATCCATTCTACTGAGTATAGAGAAGCATACAGAGGAGCATGAGCTAGCTGGCCTCAGTGTCACTCTGCACACTCTTCCGTTTAATTAACCTTCATCTATTTGCTTAACTTTTTCCCATAACGAATTAAATACCAAGGAACCTATAGCATTTCAAGCTGATTGGACCAAGACATTCCAGAACTGAATGAATAATTCGTGCTTTAAAAATCGGTCCACATACTGGGCTCACTTTACTTCCTCACGAATATTTGTATCGATCGAGACATTTATTCAGTCTCTGCACAAAATCAATGTCTATGAGCCCTCACTGACGCCAAAGGTAGGTTCTTAAACTTTACTGCAGGCAGTCTCACCACATGGCCCACTAACGCTTTCATGCGATGGACTTCAGTTGCGCACAGAGATCACAGGGTTTCCTCAGATGCCTTCCCTTTACATCATCAGCCCATTCGCATTTAGCTTCACGCCTTTAACGTGAACAGGCACACCGTGAGACTGTATACCCACAAGTCCAACTCCCTCAGGAGCAGTCTCCAGCAGGGAAGGGGTGTTCAATTCAACTTTTGAAAATGAGGGAAAGAACCACTTTGTTCTTGTACTTCATTTGTACTAAATTGAATTAATGTGGGTTCATAGAACATTATTATCATCACTGAAATATAGGGCCTACTGACATTCGGTTATCTTCTGTAATGACACAATTGAAACGATGAGATAATGGCCCAAATTGATAACTTCATTACTTACATTTCATAATATTCTCTCTCCCCTGAGGGCAAGGGCTGAGAGCTTCATGATTAGGAACAGATCAGCCGAGGTAGTGTCCTGTAGAACAGAAAAAGGACATTTGCAAATGGTGAGGCCTAGGAGTGTATGTGTTTGGGGGGGGGGTGTAATGATGTAAATATAGTATACATTTATGAAAATAAAAAATTAAAAGGCATTATATTAAATTCTCAGAGAATTAATAAAATATTGAAAAATTTTAAACTAAGAGAAAAATAAATCATAACTGTTACTTCAAGAAATGCTATTACTGTGCCATTTATTTCCAGTTTAGTGTGTTGATTTTTATCCTTAGTCATTTATTCTTTAAGACCATAAACTCACTATTTTTATACACTTAAGACAGTAGCAAAAATAATGTAGCCACAGGCACATTGCTCATTGCCAAGGTGACACAGACTCTTTAACTTTGTGACGGCATTTAGTGAGCACTTAGTGGTCACTCATGGTAATGATGGGCATTTGTCTTATGATAAAATGAGCTCTGAACTTGTGGTGAACCCAGGGTAATATTCTCACCTAGACATCAGTCGCTGCTGACACTTGGAAACAGAGCAAAGCCGGTTTGTCCATTTATCATACCTTCCACAATCTATCAGTGTTCTTCCTTTGACACATCAGCTAGGAGTTGGAACACAGCTTGCTCTGCCATATCAAATCATTTCCATTCTATTCACTGACTCTCACGGACAAATTTCTAGTCAACGTAAACAAAATACGCTTCATGGTCCAAAACTCCTACACTAGCAGCACCACTATTATGGGCTCAAGCTGGTCCTTGCATTCTTCCTTCATGTTTACATGGTTTTATTGACCATGGAACTGTATCAATAAACTCACTACAAATAATCATGCAATAATCACCAAAACTTGTGATCCCTGAGCAGTCCAAACACCCTTCTGCACAATTACTGCTAGAACAATATCTCTAGTCTTAATTAAACTCAATTTTGGATACATGCACACATCAGTCAGTGTAATAATGCTTTATATTAAGCCAATTTTCACAAATGAGTCAAAATGTCTTCCAAATGATTCTAATTCACACTTTAATGTGTGTGTGCGGTGTGTGTGTGTGTGTGTGGCTTTTAAAAAATCAAGAAAATACACTATTTACACACATAGCACCTGGACACACCCACAGACCTGACCGAAGAATGGCTCAGCACAACTGTGTTCTTTCAGGAATACAGAGAAAAGAAGATCATTAGCAAGAATGAGGCCCAATTTGCATTGGCTTTGTATTCGATCTTTCATTAGTCAGTCATTTAGACAATTTGGGATGTCTTTTATTTGATTTTTCTTGTATAAACAAACAGTGTCAGCTGTAACATAGACACAGGCTCTGTTGCTGGTCTCCTACCTGGTGCAGAACAGTGTTTTCAGTAAATAGAAATGTCTGATTGCCTTGCAAAATATTCTTGTAGTTGAATAAGGCTTATTTCTATTCATTATTATCTATCTATTTGGATAATGGCTCTTTCCTTGAACTATGTGTACTATTAGCTTGAAAATGCATTTTAACAAAAGGAAAAATGAAGCCCTCATATTTTCCTGATCTCTATCTACACTGTAACTTCAAGAGAGAGGGGGTTTGTATTACTTCTGTGGTGGACCTTAGCTCTAGACATGTACCCATACAGAGTCCCAACAAAGCCCAGGATGAAGACTGTTCTCTTTTCACTGCTACCCTGTTAGTTATTAACTCACTAATTCACAATTGGTAACTTTTAATTAGTATGGCTCACAGAAACCCAAGAGGTTTGCCATTGGATAATTGCCCTTGCTATAATCCGTTACAGGCTCATTCTCAAAGCTTTACCTCACCATCACATTGCTCAGCTTTTCATACATGTACCTATCAGTGGAATGCTCCATGACCATTTCCCATTAGAAACTGACCTGCACATGGCTTTCTGCCATTAAGTAATGACAAAGACTAATACCATGGTCTAAATATCATATTTGAATACGTCTTTAAAAAACTACACAAGTAAAAACAAGAATTGTTGTCTAATTCTTACCTTGGCCTACAGGTGTGAATAAGGAATTCTCCTTCCTAACCTACTCTAAGGGGCAAAGCGCAGAAGTCATGACAAAGAAAACGCTGTTTCCTCTTCACCAAGTATCGCTTTTCAGCTTTTACTAACAATCATTGTTTAACAATCATTAATTGAGAGTGCACTTATTTCATTTTCTATTGAGAGAAAAATGAAGATTTTGAACTCCCCCGTAGCCTAGAAGTAGACAACTTCTACAATTTATACTGTTGGTGTCATCATAGCCAAAGAGGTGGTAGGTATACAATCACATACTGATTTCAAAGTCTACTGATGGTGCTTTTGTTTCATCATATATTTTAAATTTTGACTTTGCTTAACTGATGTTTTCAATTTATTTATTACTTCTCACCCTGGCCCAATCATAAAAGTAGAATAAAAATGCATAAACACAAATTATAAAACGTAATGTGTTCTAATTCCTGACACTTATCAAGAGGATAATTCAAAACAAAGAATGCACTGCTAATCTTTGGGGATGGATCTGAGAATACCACATATGTATTCATTCACGACTTCCATACCACAGTGGTCATCATTGATCAAGGACTAGCCTATGTTTCTCCATTCATCTCCTGTCTGTTGAGTAATTCATCATCTTACTACCAATGTCGTCTCTACGAACTGCTCAAGATGCAGAAGAGCCCTTCTAGTCCTAATTTGTATACAGAGCCACTGAAACATTGGTGTGGCTATTTAATCAATTATTTTCAATATTTCATGTCTGTCTTATCAATAGACCACTTTACATCAACCCCTACTGGGCACTGGCATAATGTTGGCCACTATTAGGTATATTACATGCTTTGTAATAATACAGTAATTATCTTAAGCAAACTACCCATAGCAAGAAAAGAATGTTGGCTTCAACTCACATCCAACATGCACTTCTTCTCGGGAAACTGCAGAGCACTTGACCATGGCAGATACTCCCATCATGTCATATAGTTCCTTCACTCTGAGTCATACAACACACAAAATATAACAAAATTAAGACATCCTCACTCTTCATCCTTGCTTTGCAGCTTTTTTACTCAGTCAAGCACTACTTGGAGTCATTTATTTATTTATTTATTTATTTATTTATTTATTTATTTATTTATTTATGGTTTTTGAGACAGGGTTTCTCTGTGCAGCTTCGTGCCTTTCCTGGAACTCGTTTTGGAGACCAGGCTGGCCTTGAACTCACAGAGATCCGCCTACCTCTGCCTCCCGAGTGCTGGGATTAAAGGCGTGCGCCACCACCGCCCGGCAGAGTCATTTATTTTTTAAGAAAAATAATTTCAAACTAGCTACTGCAATAATTTGAAAACTCTCTTAATTGTACTGACTATATATCATTAGACAGAGAGGTAGGAGTAGTGACTTTTTCTTTGGAATTTACTATTTTCTCTGTATATTAACAATTCTCCAACCTAGTGTATATTTTTATAGTTGGACAATGCCTAACTATATCCATTGGTTTTATTTATGCATCTATTTATTCATTCCTACATTGACCAATCATGAAAATACATTAAGATAAAGACCAAAAAGAACTACACTGTGTATTCCTGGTATCTAGGCATGTGACCATTTCAAATACAGACAATGGGCTATGGAACCATTGTAATGGACCTCAGAATGTATAAATGCACTCATTGTACCAACTTATATTCTACCAGCAGTCAACAATGATCCAGGGTTGACCATTTATTTCACTGGTTTATACCTTCCTATCCATTAACGCACTGATATGTTAGAAATAAATAAGTCCCATGACTCATAAAACACCAAGAACACACTTGATATTCCTTATCTGTATAAAGAGTATTCTTATATTAATAGTAATTCATTCTGGCATTCATAATGTATAACCAATAGAAGACTTAATATCCATCCCTGATCAATCAATGGGAAAGTGCTGATCATCACTGATCATATACTTTAAAATGATGTATTGAATATTCTTTTTTTGGGAGGGGTGTTTTGAGACAGGATTTTTCTGTGTAGGTCTGGCTGTCTTGGAATTGGCTTTGTAGACCAGGTTGGCCTTGAACTCAGAGATCTACCTGCCTCTGCCTCCAGAATTAAATACCACCAGGGATTAAAGGCATGTGCCACCATGCCTGGTGATATAATGTGTGGAATTCTCTTAAGCAAATCACTCAAAACAAGATAACACTGGAGGATAATCAGGATGGCTCACATTCCTCAGTACAGGCAGACAGAGCCTCCAGCCATGGAAGATGCTCCAATCGCACAGTATGTCCACTCCAGGGACTAATGAGCAGAGAAAACAAAACTAATTTTTTAAAAAAACTTTCCTAGTAATGTTCTGTGCTTTTCACCTACTATTGGCCATTTAGGGTACCACTTTTGGAATATATTTAATCTTATCTTTTAAAAAGATGGAAATTTTCAAACTTGCTCAGAATGTGGCATTGTATGTAATTTACATTGCTAGAATGTCATCATCAGAAAAAAATGTGTTTTAAAGGTGGCATAATGTATTCTGTACATACCGATCTATTTCATGGCTCTTATATTTTGAGAATTAGACAATGCTTTACTTACTTTATTTTGAAGACTAATTGACTGAATCTCACATTGATAGAATTATAAAAAAATGAATGGAATTTATAACATCAAAAGATTGAATATATTCTACGGTCCTACAAGAACACTTGAAATGAAGGAAATAGATTATAGTTCTTCGTTGGTAGATCTCAGAGTTCCAGAAATGTAGTCATCCATGTGGCTCATGTGGCACCAGTGATCATTATCAATCATGACTTTTTCCAGTCACTACTCCTTTATTGTCTGTTAATTAGTTCAATAATCAACTAAAAATAATTTGAGGACCTATTATTCCAACAACCCTACAAATCTTTCTTACTCCTAATCTGTGTGGAATTGTTCTAACCTTAAGTAATTATCCTCTGTGTTTGCTGAATTAATTGACAACTTCCATTCATTTCTGTGGCTCTCACTGGTATGGAGCAGCCATCCTTGGTGCCATACTATATTTTTCAGTGACACATTGAGTTCTGTTAAGTAAACCATCAAACCTGAAGAAGGGATCCTGGCCAATCTTCACAGTGGTCTGTCCAGCTCTACCGATGATGTCAGCACAGCTCCCAGCCGTGGAGGCATCCCCAAGTCAGCAAAGGTCTAAGGAATGCAAAGCAGAGGAGATAAAGACAAAAATAAGACATTGCTATTGACCTCTGACCTTCACTCATGCAGGCCTAGGTAATCATTTATATGATGAGGTTATCTATTTAATTAGCTCTTAAATAAATAAGGGCAAGTTTAGCAATGATTTGGACAGTCATAACATTATGCTTTATATCATAACTTTCAGCATTTGCTGAAAAGCAGATGTGTAAGATTCCTATCTGACCTAAAAAGTATTTCTTGTTCATCATGTATTTTTATAATTGGACCACATTTATAAATTTTTATTTGTATATTTATTGATTTTTGCACTGATATCATTATAAGAACATCAGGAAATATATATTTCCATATATATATTGAAATACACACAAACACACACACAGAAGTCAATTCCATCTCAACTGTTGACAACTGGACTTTATGATGGACATAAAGTCACTATTTGTTAACTCAAATATCCCATCAGAGTCATCATTAACCCAAGATTGGACCCATTTTTCTACATTGTGAATATAAATGTGTCTCCTTCAATAGCTACCCTCCTTTTTATACATAAGTATAATCTCATACTTTTTTTATACTAACTTCATATATGTTCTCTGTTACACTTTGACCTAGTGTGAATATATTTCACATCTTAGTAGCACAGTGACTAACCTTCCATCAAAATGATGACAAGAACGTTGGCCAGATCTCACATCATCCTGAGCGACTGATGGGCTGGCAGGCATTAAAGATGAACAGATCACCTTGGAAGAATTCATTCTAAGGAGCACAGAGCAAAGCAGGGGACAAACAGTGACAACTCTGCTGTCAATCTTTATGTAGCCACATATCTTCTGTGTTGCATCTTGGTGTTTCAGACACATAGTCATCATGTATGAATCAAATGCCACCGGTGGTCATCATCAAGCCAAGATTAGTTCTCCCTTTCTCTAATTATTTCTATGTTGCCTATTAATTACTTAATTATAAACCCTATGGTTAGTAACTGCTGCCCCCACAAAAAATAAATCTAGGAGTCTGATTATACCTAATCTGTACATGGATTCTCTATAATATAGCCACCATATTAATAATACACTAGTTATCACATTTGTATTAACAATGGACAATTTCATGTAGTCTCCATATCTGCCATTGGTATTCAGATAGCCCTCTCTACAATATTCACTGTGTAGACACTATATTAGACCATCAATAACTATACTATACACTGTTTAAACACTATATTAAACCACTCAAACCAAGACAAGGAGGTTTTTGTAACTCACACTGGTCTTGTTTTCTTCCTCAGCAGGGTGCAAATGGAGCCCTTGACCTTTGGGGGATCCTCTAATGACATGGTCCATCCTGAGTACAGAGAGGAGGGGAGGGAGGAGAGGAAAGGGGAGGGGAGAAGAGGGGAGAGGAGAGGAGAAGCCAGAAGGGGAGGGGAGAGGAGAGGATAATGAAATGCTTACAGAGAAGGCTGCAAGGGTAAAAACACTGGAACGTATATCTGTCCCAGGCTCTATAAAAAGACACAAGCTGGTGCTGCTGGCTGTGGATAAACATGTCAGCCACCTGAGAGCATCCACTCCAAAGAGAGTGCACCAACAAAATTTTGTTTGCTTGTTTTTAAAAGCCACACTTCTCACATTGTCTTCCATGACTATCTGCCATCTGAACTATTCATGCAAGCCTTCTCAATTTAAAACTATTTACACTATTGTTTTATAAAATGAGTTTCTTCAGACTTCCAGCTAACCAAGAAAATTGATGTTATCTGTTACTGACATTATTTCAACTGTACACACAGACAGCTGTATGCTACTTGCTTCTCTTTGGATTACATATTTTCAGTGTACTAAGGGGGTTTGTTTTGGCCTTGAAATTCATGTTTGTAACTGAATAATGTTTCACCCACTTATCTCCATTGTTTTCTGTATTTCTTGGCTATTCAAGGAATTAAAGGAATAGTATGAAATAGGCGAACACAGAGATGGCATCTGCTACAGGATGGACCCCAGAGACAGACACATGTACATTACCCTGTCTACTACATGACTATACTACCTGTGTCCATCATAAATCTACCCTGAATCTAGTCACCTCTATTCCCTTCCATGTTGGCTCTTGATTGAATCATTAATTCACTTGTAAAAATGGAAACCGTGTTATTCCCCCAAACACTGAAACAGACTGGAAGTCACTCTTCTCTAAAGACTGAGTTCACCCCAACCTGTCTCCTTCAATGAGGAACCTGGGTTCATTACGCAAGGCCAACTCAGTGTCCTACTTCATGTTAAGTCCATATGTGTCATTGGTTATACTTGGCTTAATGCAACATAGTTTTTCTTGAATATATTCATTCGTGTTTATGAGTGTACATGCCAAGGATGTGTGCATGGAGGCCAGGGTTCAACATTTGGGAATCTGTTTTCTTTCCACCATGTGGGTACTGAGAAACAATATTAGGTCAGTAGACTTTGCAGCAAGTGCCTTCATCCCCTGAGCCATCTACCAGCCCCATATTAGATACTTTTCAATATTGAAGTAACTAACCTTACACAGACCACATAAAACACAAGGACACTAACTAGTACTCACGTTGTCCAAAGTACAATGCAGAGACACAAATGTTGCACTGGTGACCGCGAGAATGCAGAAATCACCTCAGGAGCACCCATTCTGAGGAGTACAGAGCAGAGCACAAGATACAAAATGGCGCACTCCTTCAAGGACCCATGCTCATCTACTTATCTTTCATGTTGGACCTTAGAGTTTCAGACAGGTATTAGTCATCGTGTCTCTCATACCTTGGTAAATGTCATCATTGGTCCAGAAAAGGCTTGATCTCTCCTCCCTATCGATACTTTTCAATAAGCCAATAGTTCACTAGGAATGCCTGTGATACATAGACATTCAACAGGAGCACAGCTCGCTGACATGTTTAGATTGGAACGCACATTAATGTGTTCGCATGTACTATTCACCATGCTCATAATTTGTACATGCTTAGTACACAAGCTCATCATCATCTCAAATGACAATGTGAAAGTAAATCTATAGGATTATATTTCAGGCTTTGTAAAATAAAGTGATGTCTAGAAAAACATAGACAAGACCTATGGCTGCCACCCAAACTTACCTGGATACAGTTTATAAACAGGGAATTCACTGCCGGCTTATACACGTCCACTGGGGGAAGTAAAAAAAAAAAAAAGAACAAAGGTAATAAATGATTATTAAAGGTGGATAACAACCATGGTTTCCAACTTTGATTTAGAGTGATATATCTATTCCTTAACTAAATAACATAATTTATCTCCTAAAGAAACAAGCAAATTTAATTATGTCCAGGGATTCAGAACAGAAACTGTGGCTGTGAGGAAAACTGCATGTACTGTCCTTAATGAAAGAAGAAGGAACAAGGCCCCATACAAAAGTGGACTCAGGTATTCTCATCATGCATAAATAGATGGGCCAGGAGTTCCGACTAATATTGTGGTCCATGTGGACATACTGATGTCCCTTGGACATAAATGTACTTTTCCTTGCAATTCTACCCAGGAGCAGATGTGTTGGCTCATAAGAACTTCCCATTTTGAGTTTTGAGCATCACTAACTGTTTGCAGAATGTGTGCTGGAAAAGTATCTCTTCGGACACATGAGCCTGAGCTTACATTGCTCTTTGTCAATTTTGTCATAGACGTTCTAAGCAGGTTAAGGAAATATGTGAGTATGGCTTGAAATTTAGAAGAGACTAATCTTCTAAATTAGTAATCAGTAATATGAATTAGAGTATTAATACAAAATTGGAAATATAAAACAATATAATATAGATATAAATAAGGAATTTGGTGTTTGGGATATTTGTAAGTCTCCTTTTCAGAAATGTCCATAAAATACTATTGTCTAATTTATACAAAAATGACTAGTTTTTACACTACTATTATGTTGGGAAACTATACAAGTTGTACATGTAAACACTATGTCAGATACTAGTCATCCCCAAAATAGACTAGATGGAATAGGATTATTTTCAACAAAACCACAGATATAGATGTAGGCATAAGAATAAACAAGGAACAGAGAAATGCATAGAGTATGGCCCCATTCAAATGTGAATGTTTAAAACTGATATATTGGAAACTGAAAGTGTGATGCTGGTGAGCACGGTTTGGCAATTTACAGGGAAGACTGGATAAGAAAGTTTAGTGAGTATTAGTAAACTGCACCGAGAAAGGTAGAATAAAATCTGGTGTAGTGCCACAGAAGGGGTAAATGTGGCTAAAAGAGAGGTAGTGATTTGGTAAAACAGAAAAGAGAAATGAATATGGGAATGTGGAAAAAATGGCTTAGCACAAAAATACCCATAACTTGATATTAATATTCTATAACTTGTAAATTTACTAGAAGAAAAGGGAACCTACCAGTAGACCTAAGAGGAAGGTGAAACAGAAAAGAATATGAAAGTATGTGAAGGTTGGATTAGGGCTTTGGTTTTCCATTGTGCTGTTAAAATTATCACTATATAATTAATGCTATACACACTGCTAACAGATGAAGTTATAACATTATTATGAGATCATACCAAGATCCAACCAAAGTGTGAGTCGAAAGTAGGTAACAGGCACAGTTTGTTACAGGCTGTCAAAGTGGCATCAGAAAAAGTCTGGAAGACTGGAACAGTCTCTGAAAACATCAGTAAGTCAGGCAGGTTTTCGGGAGAAGAATAACCTAAAAAAAGAAAAAGAAACAATGAGAAGATTCCTCCTGAATATCTTCTGGTTACTTGTCATAACCAAGGGAGAAGCGAGCAGGATTTCATTCTAAGCAATTGGGTAATTGGAGCCCATTTAGTGAAGTTATCTTAAACGTTACACTGATTGAGAAAATGGACATCTAAGTTCTACATAGCATTTTACTGATTATGTTTCATACTCTATAAGTATGTGAAAATTAGTACTACTATAAAATGGCAGTTTGAAAAAAATAAAAAAGTCCAAAAGAAGATCGGCATATGCCAGTGAGACTTCATACAAAGCTTACAATGATAAGGTACAGTAAAAGTTGGACCTCAGATTACAGAACAGGGCAAGGATTGATTAGCACACAAATACGTCCAGATCTCATTATTGGTCCTGGATGGGGTCCCTCACTACATGACAGGCTGCAGGCCCGAATGACTTAGGTGCTGCATGGATCATTCTGATACAAAATGGGAGACTATTCTGTGTGGGGACCAGAACAGGTTGCATGTGAAGCCATTTATAAGTGACTACTTTCTGGACTCTACTAATGGAAAAAAAAAAAAAGGCCAAGCACATACCTATACTCTGATCTCTGAGGAGAATCAGACAGTTGACTCTTAGTCCACAGAGCTCTGAGAAATCACAGTGACCACAGGAAAAGCAGACAGTGTGTGATTGTGTGTGTGTGTGTGTGTGCATGTGCATGTGTGTGTGTGTGTGTGTGTTTCTGTGTGACTGTGTGCTTGTGTTTCCAGGTGAGCACGCTAGTAATATCAGTACTATGGACCTGTATAAAGGGGAAAAAGCAGAAAAAAGAGAGAAAAAGTTGAGAGACTGTAGGACATCACTCTGTGCCCTCTCCTTTACCTAGGCTGTACCTGGTGCTCTTCCCGGGGCACACTAAATTCTTGCCATTGTCAAGGAAAAATGACTGGCCCTTTTCTTAGCAAACTGTGCTGCCCTTCAGAGGGTCAGCAGGTCACCTCCCCCCATCTCTGCCCAAGATCTGCTGAGACTCCACACTGAGATTTTGTTTTCCACTCCCATATCTCTCATATTCCCAACCACTCTGCCCCCACTCTGCTTAGCGGCCAGCCATGTTTTCTTGGCTAATGGACGTCAGTCTGGTTCACAGGACTGGTCCTGCTCTCTCTCTCCACCCCCAGCATCTAGGGAAGCACCCAAGGTGGCCCAAGGGCCATTGCTCTGTGTCGGACCTCAGATTTCGGATAAGACGGCTGTCATCGAGAAACACTCAGACTCCACCAGATCTCATCATCGGTCCCGGGTTGGGTGCTCTCTCTGGAGCCCTCGGGATGGGCTCACTCACTGGTCAGTGTGACACATCGAGAGGCCACACTAGGGAAGGCTACTCTGCTCTGGGACACCTCACCAGCTGCTCTTCCAGCCAGCAGCAAGGTCACTCTTTGCC